CTCCTGGTCTCCCATGGGGTGCAGGGCCCAAGCACTTGGGCCATCCTCCACTGCACTCCCTGGCCACAGCAGAGAATTGGCCTGGAAGAGGGGCAACCGGGACAGAATCTGGCGCCCCAACCAGGACTAGAACCCGGTGTGCCGGCGCTGCAAGGCGGAGGATTAGCCTAGTGAGCCGCGGCACTGGCCCTAAACATATCTTTTAATTTATATTTACTTCTTTATATTTTAAACACATTATCCTGTTGTATAATTCATTCATGTTTTATTACTATATCACAATTTTATGTTTTTAATACTTTGACAATTATTATATTATAATGGGTTTCTCTTATAATTCTCTTTACATTTAAAATATTCTGAGTTGTGATCTACAGGTTTCCACAGAATGCTGAAAAGATTCACTGGCCCAGAAAAGGTTAAGATGTCTTCTAAGCAAGGATTAAGAGGCAACTGGTTTCCAGACGTAAAAGATACCTTGATGTGAGATGACTGGTGTATCAAGAAGGAGAGAGCCAGGCAGGAGAGGAGTGAGCTATGCTCAGGCTGTGAGGACACAGTAGATGCAAGAGGGAGGCACGGTTCATCCAACATTGAGCTAGGGGCCCCATTGGCCATCATGGTTATCCTCAAAGTTCCAATGAATGGAAACCGTATGCTATCCTCTTAGGAAAGAAGACCATATACTTGTGGGGTTAGGGATAATGTTTGTGCAGTACTCAGGACTTAGAGAAACCCTGTAGATTTTGATTGGGCAGAAGGGGGGGTGTCATGAAGACTGTCTGCTCTGTCATTTCTCATAAGCTGAATGTCTTCTCCTAGCAGCAATTCTGAATTCTGTTTGTATAAAACTGCAGATCCTTAAAAACATCATAGAGAATTTATGTTTTTATATAAGGGGGCTTAAAAGAAGGAGATTTAAATGATGGCTCCTGTACATGACATCATTTGGGGTAAGAGAACTAGGCAAGGAGAGACAGAGAGAGAGAAAGAGAGAAAGAGAGAGAGAGAGAGAAACAAGAACCTAACTAGGAAATAAAACTTTGTCTCATGACCAAACCTTCAAAACACATTTTACATGTCACTTTGTTAATTTCAAAACACAAAGTCAGGAGGAAGTTTTGCCCCATCTATTGCCCACTGGACTGCCAGCAAAGTGGCCGGGTATTGGATTTTCTCTGATGTTTAGAGCAGTGACTTTCTGAGGATAATTAATTGCTATTACTCAGCATTGGGTAGTGGGAGGGTTTAGTGTAGAGGAGAATTTTAAAGGAAAGGGACAGAAGTAAACACCTTTTTTTTTTTTAAAGGCTTATTTTGTTTATTTGAAAGGCAGATTTACAGAGAGAGGAAGAGAGAGAGGTCTTCCATCCCCTGGCTCACTCCCCAAATGACCACAATGGCCAGGCCTGGGCCAGGCTGAAGCCAATAGTCAGGAGCTTCCTCCAGGTCTCCCACATGGGTGCGAGGGCCCAGGCATAGGGCCGTCTTCTGCCACTTTCCCAGGCACATTAGCAGGGAGCTAGGCTGGGAGTGGAATAGCCAAGACTCAAACCCATATGGGATGTTAGAGCTTCAGGTAGTGGCCTTACCTGCTACACCACAACATTGGTTCCAGAAGTAAGCACTCTTGAGGTTTGGATCTGTATCAAATATATCTCCATTTGATAAACACCGAGTAAGCTTCTAGTAGTAAGCCAAGGAAGACACAGAAAGCATATAGGTCCCCAGAAATTAGAGGCAGCTGTAACCAAAGTCTTTTCTTCTCAGGTAGAGCCTTGGTATCCTGATTCTTCACTGTGTGAATTCACTATGAGGTCCATCTTCCTCTTTGTAAACCCAGACAGCATAAATAATTTCTTCCCTAAGGTCTGGAGCAACAAAAATCCTATTTGCTGCTAGAGCCCTGGAAATATTTTATTTGTCATCACTCAAATGAAGTAATTCTTTTTCTTGAAATGTTTCCTGCTAATGAATTTATATTTGCTTTTGCATTTTGAATCCAAATACACCATTAACATATAACAAATGAGAAGGACAGGTCAGCGACTTTCAGGGATAATATCCTTATTCTTGGAGGTCATCATTTGTCAGAAGCTGCACTTTTTGAGAAAGTAGAAGGGCAATTCTTGGAGGCAGAAATATGTAAATTCGTCTTACTCTCAAACTATGCAACCAGGCCATAATGAGGTTTTTTTTTTTTTTTTTGTTCTATGTTTAATGAGACTTTATTAGTAGGATCTTTCCATTGGCAGCAATGGTTAAGTCAAATATGACAACAGTAAGATACCTTTTTTTTTTAAAGGTCAACTAATTATAGTTGGAGATTTAATTTAAAAAAAAATATTTGGGAGGGAGAGGGAGAGGGAGGGAGAGAGGGGGAAGGAGAGAGAGAGAATCTCCCATCAGCTGGGGCTGCTACGGGTTGAAGCCAGGAGGAGGGAACTCAGTTTGGGTATCCCATGTGGGTGGCAGGGACCCAACCAATCAAACTGTCACCTGCTGCCTCCTGAGGTGCACATTAACAGGAAGCTGGAATCAGGAGCAGTGTCAGACCTGAATCCAGGCATTCATATGGGACACAGGCATCCCAGGGGGCATCTTCGATCTATTTATTTATATGAAAGGCAGAGTAACACACACACATTCACACACACAGAGACATGGTGGGGGAGAGAGAGAGCAAGAGCGAGGGGGGAGAGAGAGAGAGAGCGAGCGAGCGAGAGAGAGAGAGAGATATCAATCTTCGCTTTGCTGATTTACTCCACAAGTGGCCTCAATAGCCTGGTCAATAGCCAGGAGTCAGGAGCCTCATACAGGTCTCCCATGAGTGGCATGGGTCCAAGTGCCTGAGCTCTATTCCACTGACTTCCCAGGTGCATTAGCAGGAAGCTGGATCAGATGTGAGGAGCAGCCAGGATTCGAACTGGCGCTCTGATATGGGCTGCTGGTGCTGCAAGCAGTTTAACCTGTGGCAACACTGGTTCCCTCTTTCCCTTAACTGCTAGTGCAAACTCCTGCCCCGTGACTTGGGGATGTTATACTCACATATCTGATCTTTTATTTATTTTTTTTTTTTTGACAGGCAGAGTGGACAGTGAGAGAGAGAGACAGGGAGAGAAAGGTCTTCCTTTGCCGTTGGTTCACCCTCCAATGGCCGCCGCTGCAGCCGGCGCACCGCGCTGATCCGATGGCAGGAGCCAGGATCCAGGTGCTTTTCCTGGTCTCCCATGGGGTGCAGGGCCCAAGCACCTGGGCCATCCTCCACTGCACTCCCTGGCCATAGCAGAGAGCTGGCCTGGAAGAGGGGCAACCGGGACAGAGTCCGGCGCCCCAACCGGGACTAGAACCCGGTGTGCCGGCGCCGCAAGGTGGAGGATTAGCCTATTGAGCCACGGCGCCGGCTTATATCTGATCTTTTAAAACTTACTCTGGTCAATTCCAGGTCGTTGTCATTAGATAATATACTTCTTAAAGGTACTGCTGGGGCTGGCGCTGTGGCGTAGTGGACTAAGCATCTACCTGCAGTGCCAGGATCCCATATGGGCACCGGTTCGAGTCCTGGCTGCTCCACTTCCAATCCAGCTCTCTGCTATGGCCTGGGAAAGCTGTAGAAGATGGCCCAAGTCCTTGGGTTCCTGCTCCCGTATGGGAAACCTGGAGGAAGCTCCTGGCTCCTGGCTTCAGACAGGCTCAGCTCTGGCTGTTGCAGCCATCTGGGGAGTGAACCAGCAGATGGAAGACTTCTCTCTCTCTGCTCCTACCTCTCTGTAACTCTGCCTTTCAAATAAATAAATAAATCTTTAAAAAAATTAAAGGTACTGCCTTTTACTCCAAATAAATAAAAAAATTGATTGTTCATTCTCTCCTCTGTTTTAGATTACACTTGGCATTGTTTATTCTCTCTCAGTCTTGGGCAATATTGTTTAACAAACAGAAATATTTTCATAAGCACAAAGTTACAGGACAAAGTTACAGCCCATGATGGTCTGAAACTAGCATGTTATTTTCATAATGTGCTTTATTTTCACAAACATGCACCTTAAATCTCTCCCCTTCTGATCACGTCTGGACAATTCTGTGAAAGCCAAATGACCTTTTATCAAGAACACAGCACAGAAATCTGGATTGACCCTTGGAGCCACTTTCAACAGTTTCAACAATTCAGGTCTTCACTCGGTTTATGAAAAACAAGTGGGTTAACAGAAAGGGTTAAGGAAACACAATCTTTGACCCATCCATGTGGACGGCAGGAGAACCAGACTTACTTAGACCACAAACAAGAAGGAGCCATAGGAATGCCTGGGATGCTGCTCCTGGATTTGGAGCGTTCTTTAATGTCATAGCGAGATGCTACTCCATGCCAACTTATGAATGTCCTCCCTAGCCAGAATCAGGCCGAGGCCCCTGTTTCCCTCCTGTACTCCCACAAACAGCCCACCATTTGGTAGCTGTCCCATGAGACTGAGAACTTCTGAACTGCACCACTGTGTTTCTGTTTTATTCTATTTCCAATGTCTGCCTCTAGCTTACCTGATACCCTAGTGGAGCTGAGAGCGGCTCAAGGCTGCCAGAAGAAATGCCAGCAGGCTTCCACTGGGCAGGCCGACTACCCCACTGACCCACACACGGCCCTGCCAGGCCCTGTCCTGCGCCTGCCACACCAGCCTGACAGAGCTCAGGGCTTCTGCCTGCAGCTGTTCAGCGCCACTGATTTCCTGACACTTCCAAGGACCTTGGTTTTTTTTCAAGGTTAAAAAAAAAAAAAAAAAAACAACTTTCCTAAAACCGTATCTAGAAATAAGCAGATCAATAACCAGAGGCGCGTTACAGGCAACACCCCCCAAACGCTCCATGTCAGGAAAGGGAGACTGAAAACGCTGCCGGGACATGACCCAGCTGATGAGATCATTCATTATCCCAGTTAATAACTGCGCGTATTCAATTGTTTCTTTACAATACCTCCCCTCCCCGCCCCCGCCCCCTTTCGCGCCCCTCACCTGCCAGCCTCCTGTCCCTGGTGTTTTTCCAAATAACGTCCAGGGCTCTGGCCGTTGAGTCCCTGATGTGATCGCTAAAGGACCTCCGGAGAGGGGCTCTCAGGGGTCGGGCCATCACGTGGGCCTCAGGGTCCCCCATCCGCCAGCAAATGACTTCAGCGCAGCCGGGACGCAGCCACCATTCTCCCTCCTCCTCCTGGAGATGCCCTCGCGGGCCGCGGGCTGCCGCTCCGCCCGGGCGCGGGGCCGCAGGGGAGCCGAGAGCAGAGCGGGTCCCGCGCCTTCAGGATGCCGGCATTGCGGCTCACGCTGCGGCCCCGGGAAGCGCCAACTGCAGGCGGCCTCCTGGACGCCGGCCAAGCGCGCACGGCGGCCACATCTGGAAAGGCTTACAAAGGAGCCAGCGCCACGCTTGCCGGCGCTCGCGCTGCAGCCGCGGCGATCTCGATGCTTGCAGCTTCCTGTGTAATCCAATAACCTGACTTGGTACACGCTGGGCTGTGCGTCTATTCCATCAGATGTCTCTTCTGCACGCGCAGGCCAGGTCACCTCGCGTGCTTGAAGGAAAAGCAGGGTAGGAAGGTGCTGACAGCGAGGGAGAGAGGAAAGCTGGCAGGCGGGGTTGTCTTCCACTTTCAAGGTCAATTCTCATGAACATGTGCATTTTACACACCCATGCTCTGGGGAAGGAAGATGTGGCTTTACTGGGCATCCCAAAGAGTCTGGATTTTCTCTAGCCAAAGGACACCCGAGTTGGGTGATCAGCTCCTCATATTTCCCCTCTAACTATCCTTTTACTTATACTCAGTGGTTTCATCAAATAATTGTTGTTATTGACTCTGCATAAGGTTCAAATTTGCTCTGGTTTTGTGAATCCTTTAGTGCCAAGTGTGAGACTTCATCATTGTAACTGTACATAGACACCTTTCCCTTGCCCACATCGTGGTTTGGGGTGCTTAGGTTCAAGTTCTGACTCTGCTCTCCACGGTTCTGCTAATGCACAGCTGGGAGGCAGCAGGTGTTGGCTCAAGGACTTGGCTTCCTGTCACCACATGAGGGATCTGGACTGCGGGCTCCCAGCTTCCACTTGATCCAGCCCTGTTCATTGCAGGCATCTGGTATGTGAACCAGCAGAAGGGAGCTCTCCATCGGTCTCTCTCCCTCTCTCAAATAGTTAATTAATTAGTTAAAAAAAAAAAAAAAAACTCATCCCAAAGAACAAAAAAAGTTCCAAGCACTTTGGTACTGTTTTGGAAATAAAAATATGGGCCAGCTGCTTCTTTTATGAGATATGTTCTTGGGTGTCTAAAATGCCAAATAAATATTTCTATGCCAGTGAATTTGGCAGATATTCTACTTTTAATGTATTATTAATCCTCTGCCTATTCACTGTCCCCCAAATTCCATCTACAACTTCTAAGGCTTGGCAGGGAAGTTTAATACTGGCAGAAGATAGTATCTGAGGGCCAGTTCATAACCTTTGCAAGATGAGATAATTCTGTAAAAGCACTTTGTAAATTGCAAGGTACCATGCAAATGCTAATTATTACCATAATTATTTCTTATATATGAAGTCATTTTCAACCCACACCATCTCCTGAATCTTCAGATTTCTACAATGGGCATCTTCTTTTCCATATATCTTCAACAACTCAATTACACAAAGAATGATTATGAAAATAGTGAGACTGTGCTCATGAGTTATAACCAGCACTAGTACTACTGCTTGTTAATAATCCATGGATCTCAAATTGTATTGCTCCCAAATTGCTAAACTCATGAGTCTCCCCAGTTAAGAACGTGCTTTCAGTAGATATCCTTCTTTGCCTTATCTTTAGGCTGGGCACAGAGGCAATAAACACCATCTGCTCACATATACAGATCTCTGTGCCTGTGAGAACAAATTTCAAGTGAAAACTCTCCATTAAAGTTAAAAAGTGGTGAGCATTTAGCCTAGTGGCTAGGATGCCAGTGAAGACGCCTGCATCCCACATCAGAGTACTTGGGTTCTGTATCCATATCCAGTTCCTGACTCCAGTTTCCTGCTAATGCAGATCCTGGGCGGCAAAGGTGACGGAAGTTGATGGCACAAGTAATTGGGTCCTGCTACACTGCCACCTAGATTAGATTCCTAGCTCCTGGCTTTGGCCCTACCCATTGCAGGTATTTAGAGAGTGAACCAACAGATGAGAGCTCTTTCTTTATGTCTCTTCATCTCTCTGACTCTCCATCTCTCTCAATAAAAAAAAAAAAAGGATTAGGGGCCCCAGCACTTGTGGCATAATGAGTAAAACCGCTGCCTGTAGTACCGGCATCCCACATGGGTGCCTGTTTGAGTCCCAGCTGCTCCACTTCTGATCCAGCTCTCTGCTATTGCCTGGGAAAGCAGTAGAAGATGGCCCAATTCCTTGGGCCCCTGCACCCATGTGAAAGACCCGGAATAAGCTCCTGGCTCCTGCCTTCAGATTGGCTCAGCTCTGGTTATTGTGGCCATTTGGGGAGTGAACCAGCAGATGGAAGACTTCTCTCTCTCTGTCTCTGCCTCTCTGTAACTCTGACTTTCAAATAAAAAATTAATTTTTTTAAAAAAAGAATTAAAGATGTGATCACCTAATGGCCGGCCGCATTTTAAAACAATTTCCTAAATTCTCTCTCTCTCTGTGTGTGTGTGTGTGTCTGCATGTGCATCTGTTTCTCCTTCAAAGAGGTCTGGGAACTTTGGAGCATTTGGACTTATTTCCTGGTTAAGCCTAACAGACCCATCTGTTCAGACATCTTTTGCAGAGGAAGAATGTGAAGTGCCCACAGCATGAGTAGTGCCCTTACCACACGTGGTGCTAGGCAAGGGGAGACCTTGAGGATGAATAAACCATCGGCTTCTCTCTTTGACATTACACTGACCAGAAAAAATTTCAAAAACAGTGTGATAAGTTTCATGATGGAAGCATGTTCCAAGTGTCTGGGAACAGGGGAAGATGTGGACTGAACTGCTTCTAGGCACCAATATCACCTAAATTTCTAGCCCAAATCAACAGCAATGTCAGGGCCATTTGGTCATTCTCAGCATGAGCATCAACAACTCACTGCTTGAGTCACGTATTGTCACTAACTCTAACAGTAGGAAGCTCTTCTATACCCAAGTACAGAAAGGAAGGGGGAGCAATCAAGGGGACATAGCATTTATTGAGTACCAGTAATGCACTGCAGCCTCCTCTAGAGTTGGACTTAGACCTGTGATCCGTGACAACAATGCAGACATATCTCCTCTTTAGAGATGCAGATTCTGAAGCTCACAGAAAGCAAGTTTGAGAAAGGTCAGATAGTAAGTGGCAGATGTAGGACTTGGCAGCTCTGGCTCCCTCAAGGCTCATTAGCTTCATGGAACATTTGATTGGTTTAAAATTAATGATGATAGTGATGAGTGACCTGTTAGTGTAATCTAGGCTCTGATACTATGCCATGGGCCAGAGCTCCTTAGCTTAATCTTAGCCAAATAAAATAACTAAAAGGACCTGGGTATGGAAGAGGCCTGATGCTGCAGATGGGGTTTAGGTGATCCCTGCTGTGGAAATTGAAAGACATGGAGCCAAAAGAACCAAGGCCTAGTTCAAGAAGCAATGATCTCCAAAGTGTGCCAAAATAACCTTCCTTCTCCTCTGAAACACTCCCTCTCCAGGACTGTACTCCTCACTGTAGATCACCTCAGTGTGCATTGGAAAGACCCTCATATTGTCAGTAGCTTCCATGAGGTAGGATGATCCATAGACCTAAACTAAGATTTTTGTTTAAAATAAAAAAGGAAATTTGTCAATATAAATGTAACTTTCATTGACAGACTGGAGAGTGGGGATGCAACTGAAAGTGAGCAAGAAGAGCATTAATTACTGATTTTATCAAAGCCCAAAGGAAAGCTGGAAACTTGGTCCCTGATTTCTGAAAAAATATTAAATCCAAATTTCACTGTGAAGGTCAATTCAGTTATAGACCCAAGTTTAACTTATATTTCAATTTTTCATTCTTGGTAAGCCATTAGACATGTTGCACACATTTAAAAGTGCTTTTTACAATCTACCATGTGTAGAGTAATTTCTCAAGTTGTGTTTTCATTAATTTCATATAATTGCAGTCTTTTGTGACAGTGAGAGGTGAGGAGAGTTTGTGGCAATGTGATGTCAGCTTGGCAGATGGGTAAAGTGGAATAACAGGAGTCCACTGACTTGTCAAGATCCCCCCGGGAATTCTGAGAAGCAGCAATGAAGACACAGTGTTGGATAACTTTGTAGTTCCTGCTTTTTCCGTCAAGAGCCACTAGTGGAGCTGCTTATTGACCAGGGGTAATCACGCAAACTCTTTCAGATTCCTATAGAGCAGAGGTGCTGGTCTGTATCATTAAGCTAGAGCTTCTGGCTTAAGTAGTTCCCTACTACTTCCCGTTTAAGAAAATCATCCAACTTTGGCAATGTACAAGGGGTACTTCAAAAAGCTTGAGGAAAAGTAGAATTAAAAGATCAGTTTCTTTATTTTTGGATGAAAAATTGAGATACATGCATAGTTTTTTTCATAATGAATTTTCATGAACTTTTTGAAGACCCCTTATATGCATGGTTTCAAAACTTTTTTGAACCAAAACAAACTTAGCTTTTCATTCTATTCTTCCACAAATCCCTTTAAATTTATTTTATTTATTACCTGCATGGCAAATGACAAAGAGGGAGAAACATCCACTGGTTTACCTCTCAACTTGTCACAACAGCCAGGGCTGGGCCAGGCTGAAGCCAGGAGCTCGGAACTCCATCCAGGTCTCTCCTAGAAGTGGGAGGAGTGCAGACATTTGGGCCATCTTCCACTGCTTTCCCAGGCACATTAGGAGGAAGCTGGGTCAGAAGCAGAGCAGCTGCACTCAAGCTGGCGCTTTGATATGGGGTGCTCGTGTTGTGAGGGGTAGCTTCACCTGCTGCACCCTGATGCTGGCCCCTTCACACACTTTTTGAAGTATCTCGTGTTACACATTTTATCTAATCTTGTCAACTTTATAAATTTTGTCTTCTTGCTGCAAAATTTTTTTTAACTTTGCTTTATGAAATGTAAGCCATGGGTTGATCATTCACTTCTTTGAAAAACACAGACACAAAAGTAAAATAAACACACTCAAGATTCAATAGCCCTTGGTGGACAGGAAGAAGCCTTGAACAGAGAGACTGCAAATGCTTTTCCTTATACCTAATGCCTGAGCTTCCTCCCACATTCCAAGGCTCCAGGCTTTGTCACTTCTTAAAAGGAGAGGATACTAGCAGGAAGATTCATGCTCAAGAAGGTCACGGCGACTTTCAAGTTATCTGGTGGGCACCAGCTTTACATTCTGGTTTGTGATTCTGAGAAACAATAACAAATAAACACTGTCAAATGCCTACTTCCAGTTAACCTTGACTGTCATTGTTCTTTAAAATTATCTTTGGGACTGGCTTTCATTTTTTACACCTCTATGTCTCATCTTCCTTTATCTATTTATGCTTTTATTTATTTATTTGAGAGGCAGGGAGACACAGAAAGAGGCATAGAGACAGAGAGAGAGAGCAAGAAGGAGAGCGAGAGCAAGCAAGCAAGAGAGCTCCCATTTGCTGGTTAACTCCCCAGATGTCTACAACAGCTCAGGGGCTGATGCCAAAAGCTGGAACTCATTTGGGTAGCAGAAGCCTAATCACTTGAGCCATCATCACTCCCTCCCAAGGTCTGCATTAGCAGGAAGCTGGCATTAGGAACTGGAGTCAGGAATCAGGCAGGTACTAAAGCCCCTGTACTTCTAAATGGGACATGGACATCTTAACTGCTGTCTTCACTGCTAGGCCAAATGCCTACCCTAGTCCCATCTTCCTTTATCTAACATTAGAGACACCTTGTTTCCCAAACCTGTGTAGCATAAATTTGCTTTGGAGTTATGGCCATGTTCTGTCACTTGTGTAACTCATGTAAGCCTTCTTTGCATCAATCAGAACATTTAGGGCTGTTCAAAGTGCTGATAGGTTCTTTCAAAATAACATGAATAATGATGGAAAATGGGAAATTTATTAAGAGTCAGTGCCATGCTCAGATCTGGTTCTTTGGCATAAAAATAAGTCAATCCACCTTGGTGAAGTCCTATGAGGTAATGCAGCCCCTGCTAGTGTAAGAAAGCTAGTGTAGTGAATGGTATGTCCCGCCACAGCATAACAAGTCTGCCCAAACAGCTGGAGTCCACACAAGGAGTGCTCCATTATGCAGGTCCACAACCTACTCCAAGGAGAGTTCACAGAATGAACCCACCGCGACTTTAGGAATGTCTCAGTGGTTTCTGTTGACTCTAACGGCTAACAACGACTAGGTAGTTCATTTCGAAATGTTTATCTAATGTGACCATCTTTGGCACATTCGTTCTGGCAAGTGGCAATTTTATTTCTTTTTTATAAAGTATTTATTGGAAAGGCGGAGACAGAGAGAGAAAGAGAGAGGGGGGGGGAGAGAGAGAGAGATATCTTACACCTGCTGGTTTATTCCCCAAATGGCTACAATGACTGGGGTTGGGTCAGGGCGAAGTCTGGAGCTTCATCTGGGTCTCCAAAGTGGGTGCAAGGGGCCAAGCACTTTGGCCATTGTCTGCTGCTTTCCCAGGTGCATTAGCAGGGAGCCGGATTGGAAGTGGAGCAGCTAGGACCCAAACTGGCACCCACATGGGATGCCAGCATGGCAGGCTACAGTTTAACATGCTATGCAACAACACCAGCTCCTTCAATTTTATTTCTTAACCTGCTTTACGTTTGGAAGTTTAAAGATTACATCGGACATCAAAGTTGGTTGATAATCTCCTTTGTGATAAACTTTCTTGAATGTTCTTGACCAAGGGCTTCAAGTTAAGGTAGTTTTCACTGTCTATTAGTTATATATTGATCTACCAACAGACCATATTCATGATCTCCAAATCACTTATCTCTGACCTGGGGCCAAACAAAACTGTCTCTGGAAGGCAAGAAGAAAATCTTAAAATTAGAGATTGGAATGGAAGTCACCACAACTGCACAGATGAGGCCTCACTGCTCCTACTGGAGTGAAACAAAAGATTAAAGAACTCTACTGGTCTGATGGGCTCCATCCTACATCTAGCAGATACCCTAACAGGATTTTAACTATTAGTAAATATAACCGGTCATTTTTATGCTTTCCTCTAGCTATTTTCAAGTTGCTTTGCACACGTTTCTCTGGAGATGTTCATTTGTCCTTGGATTTACTCTGTCCTTGTATGTTTCTTTTCCATTTTCTGTAGTTGACTCAATTTTTCTACATGAGAATTTTTGGCAAAGGGTCAGGAAAGAAAAGATCCTGGAGAAGGGAATGAGGGGGTAGTGAGGTTTCCAGAATGTTTATTCTATGTCATGATTTTGGAAAGTTAAAATAGTTTTAATTTCTATAAAAGTTCAACAGGATACTTCACCAAAAATAGTGAAAGAGAAACAATACATCTACAACTTATACTGCCTTAGCAAGAATAGAATAGCTAATGGTTAAATAAACTTTATACTTGGTTAAAACTTTAGGGGAAAATGATTTCCTTCCTTTTAATATTCATTTCTCTTTATCCTTTTTATTATTTCATTCTTCCTTTTATCTTTTTATTTTCCTATCCTGTATTCTTCACAGTGTAAAAATCCAAAATATTATTAACTAAAGAGTACAACACTGTGATACAGAAATAAAGTGATGTGATTTCTCTGCTCACTCACAATTAGGGTATTATAAGACTACTTCAACTGCTTTATATTTATTTCAAATCATGCTAGCTATTTCATGTATCTTTCTATTAAGAGATTGGGATAAAAATATAAACCTCTTGGTGATTCAAAAGCATAAGACCTACTTCTGAGAAATAAACAAAAAAAACACCTCAAATGTTTTATTTTATCTTCATGAATATCTACTGCCATCAAAGTTCTTAAAAAGTGCCAGATGTTATTATCCATTTATAACAGTTAACAATCTCCTCCAATAACATTCCTACACTGATAATAAAATCAAAAGAAATTTTAGATACTTTTGGATATTCAAGTACATAGGATATTAAGGTATTAATTTAAAAATCAGACAAGACAGGAACACAACACTTCTCTACATTAATATAGCCTGTTGATTATGTACGTCATAAGACCTAAAACGTTGTCCATAAAGCCCACTTGAATGCTTTTGTAAAATGTTATTTTCAGGTTGGTTAAGTTTCTGTGCATAAAGGGATGTGGCTTACACACTCACTCACACAGACACCCACATAGTTAATACAAAAACCCATGATCAGTTTTCAGAAATTGGACGACAATATGTGAGGACTATGATCTCTGAGAGAAGGTTTGAAAAAAAAAAAACAAAACAGATGAACCCTAACATAGTCCCAACCACTACCTTCTGCCTGGCGCAATTTCTGGACCACAGACAGAGTAGACCAAGGAAAAGTAAATACAGCCTAGGGATCTTGAAGTGACACAGATCAGAGTTTGGGGGAATGGAGGCAGCTATGGTTTACAAGGAAAAGTATCAAGGCCTAGGGAGCATCACATCCTGAGCTCTACAGCTCTGCAGGGGGTTCTCTCCAAGCCTTTGGCTAAATGCTGATCTACACAAGCATGAGAAAGAACTCTCCAAAGCACTGGAGATAGGCAGGCAGATCACGTCCGGAGTTCACACAGAGCTAGGATTAGATTGTGCTTCCATCAGCCAGTGTGATGAGAACTCATGAAATATGAGGAATTGAATGGAATTCCCAGAACAGTCATGCCTCAGTAGTAAAATTAAATTAGCCCTAGCATAAAAATTGTTCTCAACCTGACAGCAGAAGAAAGGAAATAATAAAGAGCAGAAATCATTAAAATTGAAAAGAGACAATTTAGAAGATAAAAAACCAGTCTTTGAAGAGGTCAATAACATTGATCATTTCTAGTCATATTAACTAGAAATAATGAACATATTAAGGTCATAGGATTGAAGGTGAATATACAAAAAACAATGTCCATATACTTGCAATGATCATTTAATAAGAAAATATCATTCATTTCAAGATCAAAACCATGAGCTACCTAGAATTAGATTTACCCAAAAAGTTGTACAAAAACTTATACATTGAAAGCTATAAAACATTGCTAAGAGAAATTAGAGATCTAAATAAATGATCTAAATAAGCAGAGATGACATACCATGTTCAGTGATTTGAAGACTTAATATAGCTAGGATTTCATTTTAACTCAAACCAATTCATAGATTCAACATGAAACCAAATAAAATCCATCAGTTTTTAAAAATACTGACAAGTTGATTCTAAAATTTGTATAGAAATGCAAAAAACTTATGAGTTGACATGATTTTGAAAAAGAAGCAAGATGTTGATTTCAAGACTTGCTATAAAGCTACTGTAAACAAGATAGGATAGTACTGACTTCTAGACCAATGGAACAGAATATTCAAACATAGATCCTCATTACATACACAGTTGATTTTTTATAAAACAGCCAAAGTGAGTCAGTGGGTAAGATAATCATTTTCAACAAATGGCTCTGGGGCAACTGGACCATCATACTGAAGACAAGTTACCTTGACCCCTATCTCAGACCTGAAACAAACATTAACTCTAAATTGATCATAACCATAGATCTAAATGTAGGAGAAAAACTATAAGACTTGTAGAAGTTGTTGGTGATCTTCTACTGACGACTGTTTTAGCAAACAGGCAAAAGATTTGAACTGCTACTTCACAAAAGTATATATATGAATGCTCAAAATATAGAAAAAGATGTCCAATCTCATTGGTCATTAGGGAAACGCAAGTTAAAACCACAGTGAGATACCATTACATACTAAAATTAAAAAGTTTGATTATACAAAGTATTGGAGAGAATATAGAGAAATTGGAATTCTTGAACATTGTTGATGGGTATGTAAAATTGTTCAACCATTTTGAAAATGGTTTGAAAAATCTCTTTTAAAGTCAAAGAGATCCTTACTAATGAATTCCACTCCTTGGTATTACTTAAGAGAAATAAAAATGTATGTTGCAGGAATACTTGTGTGAGAATGTTAGTTGTAAATTTTTCCTTTTATACTGTACAGATATTTCAACAAAAGGCAAAACTATAGAGACAGAGACCAGTTCAATTCTTTCCAGAGCTTGGGTATGGGGTAATGGGTTAGAATGGGATGAGACAAAATACTTGGTACAGGAGTTAATGGGGCAAATTTTGGGGGATGATGAAAGAAAGCAAAATGATAAACTGTGTAGGATATAGTTAACCTTTGACATGCATAGTGGGTTGACCCCTTTCAGTTACCAGACTCTGAGGGTGTTCAAGTTCCTTACACATAATGGCACAGTATATTTGTCATAAACGCTTATTCTCCTATATACTTCAAACCATCTCTAGATTCCTTAACATATCCCATACAATATAAAAATAATTAAATAGTTTCAATATTTTATTATTTACAGAATAAGGAGAAGAAACAAATCAGTACATGTTTCCATACAGAATTTACTATTATTTTTTGATTATTTGTGAGATGGGGTGGTTGAACTCACAGATACAAAGGTATGGCTTTATTTGTAACATAAATAACCAATAGAATGCTATATTTATAATCAATGAATCACTTCTACAAATCAGAAAACAACTCAATTGAAAAACTGATGGATTACAAATAAGAATTTTACATTCTGTGAAATATGAAATTTATATTCTATATGGAAGTAATAGAATCGGGAAACAGAAGCTCAGTGCCCAACTGTGATGTCATTGAAAATTCTCTAAAAAAAAAAGCAAATTACCAGAATCCTCAATCTCTGAAAATCAGACAAACCTTCATCAAGGAGTGGAGAAAAGGTGGGACTTCTATCACTCGGGAGGAAATTAATCCTAGTGGAATAATCACTTGTGCAGAGTGTAAATCTATGGAAATGATATACCCTGCTGTGTTAGTTGGACCAGACTATATTACAACAAGCACTTCAGATATTATTAGTAGCAAAATTCATTTGAATGGTATAGTTAAATGATCATTCCATATTGGATAATTATTAGTATAAATATATGCACAAAAATAATAAAACATTGAACTCAATGATGGTATTATTATTGTATTGCCCTATTGTATTAGGATGTGTTATTTGTATGTGTATATATATATATATATTCCTTTTCAAGGCACACAGAATATTACAAAAATATTTAAGTGAACAAGCATTTTGCTACAAATAGCATCATAAGAATATACTATTTTCACACTCTCTTTGATCAAAAGTAAGCCAAAACCTCTTCCTAACTATTTTAAATAAGAAAAAAAAAGGGGGGGACAAAGAAAAAAAAACCAGGGAGAAAGCATGAGTCTTATTCTTCTGATTGGCACATAAAAAGCTAAAGAAAGACAAGTCAGACGGAAAAAGAAAAAAGAAAGCTCTTGAGAAGGCAAAATAGTCGAATTGCGGGAGCTGGAACATCACGATTCATTTGCGTGAGTTACAACTACACAGGAGATGACAGGCTGTAAACCGCACAGGCCAGAGGGCGTCTGAGGTGAAGACCCAGCACGCGAGAGCCTGAAGGAAAAAAAGCAGTTGGTAAAGGGCAGTGGAGATTTTTTTTTAGCAAAAGTGCTTGTTTGCTACAAATTCTTTTCTTGGAGGTGGGGGTAGAGCTCCCTTATGTGGATTTAAGAACGCTGGTGGCCATCAGTGAAAATGACTGCACTGCTTCCCTAATCTCTTGAGCCACAGATGGGGTTCATATTCCTTGTCTACTCTGGCTGCTTGGTCCCTGAAACTTTGCAGGGCGTGGACAATGGCTGATCAAGACCCAGACAGATGGACACTCAGAGCTGGGCACAGAAGTCAAGAGGAAACATTTAGAAACTTCACATTGCAGTTTGAGCAATTTCATGTCTGTTGAATCCAATGATGAAGCAAAATCTTGGGCTTCTATTAATGTTATTTTCTAGTTTCATTTTCTAATAATCTATTTTCATCACCTTTTAAAGTGGTATGAGTTAACAAATTGGTCTCAGAGATAGTTTGGGCCACTACCCTAAAGTATGGGTAAAAAGTAGCAGGAAACAGTGATTGAGCTCCACAGGGACAGGAAAAGGTCAATGCTATTTTGTAAAGTTTTAATTTGCCTATGAATTAGCAGTTGTTAGTAAATGCACATTTACATGGAAAAGCAACATGGCAAACACTGGTAATATTTCAGTTGGAAGTTGAAAAAAGAAAACACTACAGGAACTGAGAGTATTTTTCCCTTTGGAATTTCGTGCACAATGAGTGGCTCACATCTGGCACCAAGACTAGATAGTCAACCATGCAAGAACATTGAACCCTGAGAGATTTAAAGAAAAACAGAAGATAGGGTGGTAGCAGGAAACACAACAGGCAATTTTGCCATTTAAGTGTAAAATATGATTATTCTAAATAGATCTCCTTTCTATTGAGCTATTTTTAAGGAAATGGTTAGCATTTTTTGGGATGATTGTTACTCTGAAATCACTTAGAAAACTGGAGATCCTTAGGAGCAGCTATTTTCTTTAGTTCTTTAAATTCATATATTATCTTTATCTTAATAGTGCCATTTGTTACTTATTATCATGAGTAATGGCTGAATTGTAAGTAGGACTCCATTTTTAAGAAAGCATAACCAAAAGCAAAATAAAACTCAAAATCTTTTGACCTTTTTCTCACCTCGTAACTAAAAATTTCCTGCTATGCGTCCCTATTAAAAGTTCATTATCGGAGCCAGCACTATGGTGCAGTGGGTTGAAGCCCTGGCCTATCGCGCCAGCACCCCATAAGGACGCCGGTTCTAGTCCTGGCTGCTCCTCTTCCGATCCAGCTCTTCTGCTATGGCCTGGGAAAGCAATGGAGGATGGCCCAAGTCCTTGGGCCCCTGCACACCCACGGAAGACCTGGGAGAAGCTCCTGGCTCCTGCCTTCGAATTGGCTCAGCTCTGCCCGTTGGTGGCCATTTGGGGAGTAAACCAGAGGATGGAAGACCTCTCTCTCTTTGCATCTGCCTCTGCTTCTCTTAACCCTGCCTTTCAAATAAATAAATAAATCTTTAAAAAAAGTTCATTATCAATAGTGATTATAGCTGTTATCAGATGTTTCAGATATTGAAATGAATTAATTAAAAAACATTTTCTACCTCTTTTTCCTTTACTACTGAACAAAGAGTTAAAAATAAGGATGTCTAGATCTTGGCAGCTGGGGTAATGCTGCTGATTAATAAGATTTAGTATTCTTAGTAAAAATTACGATTGCTCTCCAAGGCCTGTTGAAGCCTGGACTCATCCCATTTTTCCAATCTTCTCTCGATCCAAACACACTCACTGGGCTCCAGCTGGCTGGGCTGCACAATTGCATCACTGTGCCTTGTGCATTCTCACTGTCTTAACTTTGCCAATACCATTTTTCTTTTCTAGAAATGTCTCAGATCTTCCTTTCCAGTCTTTCAAGGCCATCTTTCTCCCCCAAATCCTCTCTGGACAAATGCAGCCCAGGTAATGTCTCCTCAGGGTGCTGTCCAGGGAGTCTTGGGTATCTTAGACTTGTGTTAGCACTTATCTTGCTCAGCAGGCTGCAGCCCATGGGAAGGGTGTCTTGTCAGGGTCTAGAATAAGGAAATCCTGAGAGAATTACACAGGGGAGGTAGGAAAGGCAGCACACATCAGCAGCACTTGTTCTTGGTCCTTTTCCCCTTTGTGGCCGGTGCTCAACTTTCTGGTAGAAGGCAGTGGAAGTGGGGGAGAAGGAGGATTGGGAAGAGAACAGATATGCTGACATTTGGATGGACTTGAATTAACCTGGAGTACGGATCATAGGTTCCACTGAGAGGAAGCTAAAATTTAGCCCTTCTGAAGCACTTTAGCATTCATATTAGTTTTTAGCGATATAGAACAGTGGTTTTGCTGTATTCTTTGGGCTGTTTCTAAGATTATAAAATTGTAAACTAGGAGACAATTGCGAGTCATGCCTCCTCTTCCTTCTCTGAACATCTTAACTCCTATGACCTCTTCCTTTCTCCTGGGGCATCTGGTCCTTCTGCCATCTGGATTTCCATAGTCATCACTCCACATTGTCCACTAAACCTAAGGGCTCTCCATTGCCTAGAGATCAGAATTCCCATTGTATGGGTGCACAGTACCACTTGTTAGGCTCTTCTGAGATGTGAATGAAGTTTAACCCTGGGAGAGAAGGGCACGTAGGGCTGTAGAACTAGAACTCACTCCTAGTAAGTATCTCCTTATTGAATGTGAATGGCAGAGCAGTGTGACATTCAGCTTCTCATTGCCTTGTCCTTGTTTGCTTTTTTTCTCTCTGCCAAGTCTGCATACAGAATTATCTTCATTACTTTACAAGGTTGATATATTTGTGAAATTGGATTAGGATTAAGTTAGCTTAATGCAAATTACACGCAACTCTATGACACACAGGGTATCTTTGATGACTCTGCCTGTTCAATAAATGTTTGGTATTTCTGTGGCTTTTCTTGCACCTTGACTATAAACTCTCTGAAGGTAGCATTATGAACAGTTTTATAAGCCCAGAGCACCATCTGGCAAAGATAGATATTTTTTGGTTATATTTATAGTAAAATATCACCATTCAGTATCAAGATAATTTGCTTTAATTTTTTGTATTTTGTCATGCAGTACAAATCTGGATGTACAGGGTGCTGGCGCCAAAGGTAGAGATTAGCCTAGTGAGCCGTGGCGCCGGCCCAGAAAGTTGAATTTTTAAACAATCATTCTAAAAAATTATGAGGTACACTTTAATGAACACTTCCTTTATTTTTAATCAAAGATGCCATTTTTCTTTCAAACCAATAATGATTGAATGTTCTTTGTGTGCAAGATATTTAAGATAAATCAATTGTGGATTTTATTATGCAATAGAGAAAATACATTCTAATAATGATAATATAGGACATAAAGGGATTAAAAAGCTTGTGGGAAGTTCAGATACAGTTTTGGAGAGTTTGGGAAAATGTGCTGATTTCCACATAGTAGAGATACTGGAAGTCTTCAAAGAGAAGATAGATAAAGGAATTTGGAGATGGCATGAAAGGAAGTTTTAGGAAAAAGCTACAGTACTGGCAAGACATTGAGGGAGAATGCGCAGGATGTGAGGCCCATGGGCACTCCTGCTGTGGAGTCTCAGGGGCGGCTGGAAAGCAGTGTGCGGCACGGCTGAGTGGTGAGGGCTGGAGAGGGTAGATGTGCACCGTTAGCAGGGTAAGGGTTCAGAAATAAGGGATAGAGACAAAGAAAGGGAAGGAAAGCACACCGAAACATCAGTGCAGTGGAGCTTCCTTAATTAAGGCTTACGAGGGATTCAGGGAGATGAAGATGGGCTAGTAAACTTTTTTTTCCCTTAATTGTATTACATATGATATCAGGAAGTACTATGAAACTCATATGAAGGTACTTCAAAAGTGGAATGAAAAAAGGTAAGTTTATTTTGGTGCAAAAAATTTGAAATCCACATAAGGTTTTTTCGCAGTACACAATTTTCATGGACATTTTGAAGATCCCTTGTAAATAACTATTTCTGTGTGCTCCATGATATGAACTTCCATTATTTGAGACAAATATAATAAAATTCTAGAGTTTGAAGATAAAGATCAGTGCCATGTCCATTTAAATAAAAACCACAACACTGTGTGTACTTAGGGTATTTTTAAAGCACAATTTCATAAAAACTTATATTTGTATTTATTATTGTGTATATTACTAGATAGACACTTAAAGAAAAGTAAATAAGAAAATTCTAGGGAATCACAAAAATATGATAAGATAGTCCCTTGATCTTCCGCCTCTTAAAAAGAAAACAAAACCTGACACCTCTAAGGGTTAAATAATTTTACTAAAGAAAACAAAAACGAGGTAAGCTGAAGTCATGGGAAATGGAAGAGAAAGAGCAAGAGACTGAAAACCCACCACAGATGGAGCAAAGACTTTCCAGATGTGGAATTCTTCCTGGGGACCCGTGCTGCTAGCTTGGCTCACTTGACTTCTACCCGGAAAAAAAAAATGCAACCAGGCTTCCTTGAGAACTTCCGTCTCTAATTGAAAAAAGCTACTTTGGTGCGATTTTCTGTTTTGCTGCATTCAGGAAAATGTCTTGATATCTGTGATTCGCAGTTGTTTTTAAAAGCTGGCTTCCCCAGTGTAAGTGGGAGCGCTTGTGGACTGTCTGAAGTTATCTGGGTGCTGGAATAGCTCCATTTGGAAAGACCTTTGAAAGCGTCCATCCCACAGTCCTTCTGTCCACATGACCGTGGGGCCGGGGCACGCCCTGCATGTGAGCAGGAGGGGTCAGGGCTCTGTTTATGCTCTGTTGTCAGGGACCATCTGGGAGGACGGCTGCAGATTAGCTGCAGAATGATGAGCAGCTTCTAAGGGTCAGGGTCACAAGTTAGACCAAGACGGTTTTTTTTTTTTAAAGGTTTTAGAATCTAGGGC